TTCACTAGGCCCATGGTAGATGAACCAGCGCCAAATTCACTATGGCCAGGGCTTTAAAAACTACATCGAAGGCTCCCGGCGATTTGTTGAGCCTGCCATCGACTATAGGAAGTTTCTGAACCTCCGCCTCATCACCAAACTACTATGCTGCCACCACCGCCCCATCACACCCATAGCCGCCATCTTCATACTTTTGTACCCATGCCGAGCATGCCATCCTCATCGTCTGCCTTGATGATATCTCATGGTGACTCATGGTGGCCTGCCCACCCACATGGTGTTGAATCCTGAACCGCACATGCGTCCCATGGCCAAGCACACCTGCCATTCCTGTGAATCCGCGCGCTCAAAACGCCATGACGCCGCTATCTTTGTGGGAAGGCTTCCTAACCGCTCCTCTTCGTCAGTGGTACCAACTCTGAACCCACCGACCTCGACTCCAGCAGTGGCAAATCCGGAAGCCCGACCGAAGAAAAGACAGAGGGTACACGCCCCGACCCAGATCACGACCGTCCTGTCCCTCCTTCTTCGGACACTGTACCACCTGGGGACATGGGGGCCCTCTGTGGTGGCATTGGCTTTGCAGAAGACGATGATTCTGCCACAGACCATGGTCTTCCTATTCACCGATCTTCACCCTCGGCACCTGCTCCGGCTCCTGTTCCTGTTGACCCTGTTGGCCCTCATCGTGAACCTGATCATGAACCGCCATGGCGTGCACCCAGTGATCAACATGGGCAACCGACCTTGGCCAGAGGCAGATGACAATGAATTCATTGGTTACAAGCTTGACGCCCGATCTCGTCCTTCATGGAAGACGATTGGCCAACGCATGCGTAGTTCAGCCGACTCTCTCAAAGCTCGCTGGCAATGGTTGAAGAATACCAGACCTGATCTGTTGACTCGTGCCGACAATGAGGCCGAAGATTAGACTTTCTTACACATCGGGAAAAGTTTTCTGCCGTTTCTCTTGCTTGATTCACCGGTTCCACTTCTTTTTCCGCCTCAGCTTCTTGCTGAATTTCGCAATTTCCACGTTGTTGGCTCTTAGAACAGTATATACCCTCATGTTGTATTGCCTCCCTCCATAAGCTATGGCTCGCTCCCGATCTTGTCCCCGAAGTGCTCTTCACACTTCTGCCCATGATGACTTCTTCGGCATGCCTTCGGTTCCGGATACTACACCTACGATTCGACGTCTCCGACGCGTTTTGGTCATCAGGTGACTCGTTGCAATCTTCTCCCTGTACTGACTGGAACGGAGGAAACAGCTCTCTTTACATGTTCTAGGCTACTCCCTGTGTCCAAGCTTCTTCGTGTGACGCCGGGAGACCTTATCTCTAATGTCAGTGACCAAATCTCGGTAACTTGGGATGTTCAGATTGACCCTGACGAGTTGGATCTTCGATGGCATGATAGCTCGGGTGACACTTTCGTCCTGAGCACACCATCAACACTTGCCACCTGCTTAGTATCCATCGACCTCAATGGTGCCGACAACAGGACACGGGCACTTTGTTCCCAACCAGGCCTTTCACTGATTTCAAGCAGCCGTACATCATGCGTCTCTGTTGCCACAGAGCCCTTCCTGCTAGATACTTGCCATAGACTGCGCGACAGGCTCAAAACATCGCTTACTCACTTTGTCAACTGTTGTCGTTTTAGCTTCTTTCTTGTCGCTCTGCTTTCTTTCGGTTGTCCTATACCATCTCTTTTCATGTTCTGCCATTTCAGCTCTCAATATGACAAAACGTGACTCCATCACGGCCAACCTACCTTCCCCGCGGGATCTTCGCATGGCTTCGAGACGGACGTGCCTATGACTGGCCTGGATCGCACTGATACAGCGTCCGGAAAAACAAGTCAGCCGGTACCAATTCCCATGCTGCTTTCATCCAGCTCTTCTGCACCAAATTTGGAGACACAAGCTCCTCTTCAACCAACTCAGTGGCGCCAAAGAATTGTCCATACTCGCACCTTCAAGATCTATGAGTACGGCAATGGGCCTGCAGAATTGGTTGTGGAAGAAGTTGACTCTTCGGGTCATTCTCACGGAAGGTCCTTGGAATATTTCTTCAATGGAATCGTTGGTCATGTCCGGGATCAACATGGAAAGCAAGTGGATGGCTGGCACCAAGCAGCCCAGTTGGCCAACTATTGGCGCCGTCATTTTGGCGTACCTAGGAAGATTCCCATCCATACCATGATTACAATCCCGATGACAGGGCTGTGCAACGGATGTGAATCCTCCCATGTCACAAACGCCGGTCCCAATCGCCCAGCTCGCCTGGCTACTACACAGCATTCTGTGCCAGGATCCAGCAGGCAATGATTCTATTTTATCGGCTTTGAGCACGGCATCACCGGTTTAATGTACAAAGCATCATTTCCACTGTGGAACGAGACAATGGCAAGGGACAAATCCACCACATGCCACATGCACATGGCGTTATTTGAAAGGGTCGGAGCAATTGAAGCAATCGAACTACTATAGTATATAGGTTGAGAGATTGGGGGCCTTTGAATCTGCTTGAAGGCCTGCTTCTTACCAGCCCAATCGATATCAAAATCCAGCGCAGAGAGTTTAAACAAATGGTGGTGGGTTTCGTGGGAGCATTGGGCGCACATGTTCTTACAACCGGGTACCATGCATTAGGGGCCTGCATGATTTGGTCACGGGGTTTACTGGTCATAATTTCGGACCGCTTGGCTCTGGTTGGAACTTGTCTAACTTGTATAGTTTGTGGTTTGCTTTGGTAAATTTGGGCTTGCTTTGGTTCTAGTCGGTGTGCAGATGGGGCCAGTGCTGCAAAGGGCTGGGGGGAGGGGTCCTTTTGGGCTTGGTGGGATAAAATTCACGAGAAATGCTTACTGAGGGCTTCCGTTTCCTTTCATGCCCTCGTCGTTCCTTTCTCCCCATGGCCTCTTATGTATTTGTCTGCACCCCAACCTGCGTAATTAAGCATATATGAATGGCTCCTGCTGTATTTCTTGTCGCTTTGTATTCCTATCTTTTTGTTTCCCATTGAACTGTCCCTATCAGGCCACACCCAACACCCTAAATGCTTCTTATTGGTGTTGTTTCTTTCTTGTTTCGCAATTCTGCCTTTGTATAACCCATTCCCACCCTAAATTTCTTAATGGTTCTGAAGGTTCTTGTGAAATTGTTTTCTCTCTTGGTTTATCTTTCTTTTCCCACTTGTTTTCCCTTTGCACAACGCCCCGAATGGTCAATGTTGGTGACTTTATGGTACGTTCGTTCTTTTCTGACCAGACTTATTTAATTTAGGACCAAAGCGATCTCATTTACCACCAAAGAAGCTCAATTGATCACCAGAGCGATCCCATTTACAATCAAAATGGTCGAGTTTATGACCCAAGTAATCCCCACCTCCACCTTCAAGGCCGAAGACAAGTTTGCATGATTCTGCCTCTGCTTTCTCACACATCTGCACTGCACTTGATTCACCTATTGTCCAAGGAAGTCTAGAAGTCAAACTTCCGACAATATGGACAGATGGAAAAGCAGAGGTGGGAAGAGTCAGAGAAGAGAAGAGAAGGGAAGAGAAGAGAAGAGAAGAGAAAGAAGATCAGAGAAGAGAAATAGTCAGAAGAAAGAAGATGCAGGCGCGCAAAAAGGTAGAAAAGTCGCCATTCACTGTGTTTTTCCGATGATTTGTGGCTCCCGGGGGTCGAGCCATCTGGCCAGATGAGAGATGAAAAATTGCCCGCCGTTTTGGCGCGAAGCACGTTTCCAAGTCAAAAGTGTTAAAAACTGACGGTCTTTTGGACATTCTGATGTCGCTTCGCATGGCAGGCGCAAGGGATTGTGCACCCTGCCCAAAGTGAGAAAAACATGAGGGGTTTGTCGCAAATTCCAAAAACGATGCAGGCGTGGGAAGGAGCCGCAAATCTGCATTTCGCGTGGCAGGCACAGTAAAGAGACATGTTCATGAGAGTTGTTAGGAGGTCAGGGCATTGATTTCCTGAGACGGTCGCTTTTTCGTGGTGGCGCACTACTTAGACACATTGGAATGGAAAATCTGCAAAACGCATTGGTACGAGGCCGTCAACTCTGCACTCAGCTTTCCATTTTTGAAGGAAGTCTCGCATAATTGCTTCGTTTTTGATGTTGTCAATTCCGAAAATTGAGGAAGTCTCGCAGACTTGTTTCGTTTTTGACGTTGTCAAGTTCAAAAATTGAGGAAGTCTCGTAGAATTTCTGCGGTTTCAAGCTTGGAGATAGACAGGCAGATAGACAGATAGACAGATCAACTACACTACAGCTACAACTACCACTACCACCACAGCTACAACCACAACTACAACTTCAATTTCAATTTCACCTTCAACTTCAACTTCAACTACATTACAACTACAACTACAACTACAAGTACAACTACAACAGCAACTACAGTACAACTACACTACAGCTACAGCTACAACTGCAACCACAACTACAACTGCAAGTACCACTAAACTACACACTATTCTACACTACAACCACAACTAGAACTACAAGTGGAACTGCAACTACAACTACACTGAACAACACTAAACCTACAACTACAACTACAAACTACACCACACCACACCGCACTACATTCAGAAGTTGTGGGTGCAGGGTTGACCACTGCAACTGCTGCAGCCACTCCAAAAACACAACTCCAACCACGTTTCGGTCCATCAGTGGATTCGCTCTGCCATCCATGCATCACAACAACTCACCTGTCCTATAGGTATCCTATTTTTGAAACTTCCGCCACCGCCTTGTGCGGTACTACTGGTATTCTGCACAAAAGAATATAAAAACATATATATATATATACATATACATATATATATATATATACACAAAGATGTAAATGTATATGAGTACACATGTGAAACAGAGAAAGAGAGAGAGAGAGAGATGTGATATGTGCCGATTCTTCGCATTTGGGGAGAAACAGTGTTCAGCTCTTGTTGAGTGTAGAGGCGATTGGGCCGAATGGGTTTGCAGGATCTGGCAAGGCAGAATTTCGCAGCAAAGGCAACTGCAGTTTCGACGTCAAAGCAAACCGACATGAACAGACAAACCAATGGAAGTCGGTAGCCAGTCGTGGTCAGTGGTAGTCAGTGGTAGTCAGTGGCAGTCAGTGGTAGTCAGCAGCATTCACGGGAAATAAATCGCAATCATATAGCGATTCTTCCTGATGAAGAGCTTCCTTCAGGTTGAAGGGGAGCTCGGTGCCGACAAGGGAGATGTCATTGAAATGCGTTTGCAGCAGTGACCACCCAGACATTTTTTGAAAAGAGTCTGATGTTGATTTTTCCCCACATTGACGTGTGGGGTTTTTGTTTTTAGTGCTGCATCCGCTCCTTCCTTCTCCTCCTCCTGCCTGTCCTCCCAATCCTCCAATCACTTCACTCACACACACACATCACTTACACACACACACACACATCCCACTCCCACCATCCTCCCACACTCACTCGCTCACTCCCTCCCTCCCTCACTCACTCACTCACTCACTCACGCACTCACTCGCTCGCTCACTCACTCACTCACTCACCCACTCACTCTCACCCTCCCTCCCTCCCTCCCCTCCCTCTTCCCTACCACCAACTCACTAACTCACTTCACCCAACCTACCAACCCACTTCACTCTCACTCTCACTCTAACTCTCACGTTCATCAACTATCACCTCTCACTCGCACTCTCAACTACTTCACTCTCACTCTTCGCTACTCTTCACTCACTCTCACTCACTCTCAACACTCGGAACTCAACTCTCACTCTCCACTCTCATCACTCACTCTCACTCAACATCTCACTCTCACCTCTAACCTCTCAATCCACTCTCACTCTGCACTCACTCTCACTAACTTCACTAACTCTCACTCACTCTCACTCACTTCACCTTCACTCTACTCTCACTCACTCACTTCCACTCTCACTCTACTCACTCACTCTCACTCACACTCACTCACTCTCACACTCACTCACTCACTCACTCACTCACTCACTCACTCACTCACTCACTCACTCACTCACTCACTCACTCACTCACTCACTCACCGCCCACACACACACACACCCACACACCCACCCACCCACGCACGCACGCACGCACGCACGCACGCACGCACTCACTCACTCACTCACTCTCACACTCACTCACTCACTCACTCACTCACACACTCACTCTCACTCTCACACTCAC